AAAATATAGAAAAGTAAAAATAATAAAAGAAAAAGTTTAAATAAATATTACTGCGCTAAGAAATATAACGTGATATGGTTGATGAAAGGTAGAATGGTAAAAATACTGATGAAAAGCTGGATGCATCTTGCCTGCTAACAACACTTCTTGAACACAAATCATACAATCATCAATGGGCCGTTGAGTTCGAGCTGGACAATGAAAACTGACTTACCCGTTTATTTTGGATGTTCCCAGAGCAGATTGTTCTTTGGTTAGAGTATGATGTCATTTTAAATGACAATACCACCAAAACCAACCATTATCAAATATCACTTTCACTTTTTTTCGTTGTGAACAACAACACTAGGTCATGTCTTGTCGCACAAGCTCTCGTATCAGACGAAACAACAGAGTTCTATAAATGGATCCTGGAATGCACAAAAAAAGCAACAATGATTGAGCCATTAGTATTCATTATGGATGCGGATCCTATAGCAGATGCTGCCATCAGATAAATATATCAAAACACCTATTCAGTTCACTGCATTTTTCATATCAGCGAAAACTTACCAAAAAATCTCAAATCTAAGCTTCATAGCCAATATGAAAGCTTTGTCCATGACTTTTTCCTATGCTGCAACAACCTGTGTGAAGAAAGTTTCTATGAATGATGATCACAACTTACCGAAAAGTACTCAAACGTTAAAGATTATCTGATGAGAGCGCTTTACTCCAGTCGACAAGTGTGGGCATGTGCATTTAAGGTTGCTTGCTAAAATCTCTTAGTGACTGTCTAAATTCTGTTGAAATTATAATAAACTATTAGTAAATAACCTGTCAAAATTCTGACGAATTTTGAAACTCGTCATAACCGAAATTATGTCAAAATTCTAATTAACAATTAGTGTGTAACCCGTCAAAATTATGACGATATTTTTCTGAAAGGATTTAGGCAAGCATCCTTAAATCTGACATCACATTATTTGCATTACTAAATCAAAGACCATTTCACTTTTATTCTATCTTGGATATTTGTTTTAATTCGCCTGTTCATTGGATCCAAAAGGAGAAGCACTTACCTTAATTAAATTTTAATCAATAAGAACCGAGCCCAGATTATTGTGCACGTGATATATCATGTTCACATGATATTATCTACTTTCTGATTGGTCTAATCTATAATGATCGTTATCTGAAAATAAAGATTCATTAATAAAAGTGATCATTTTTAAACTTTAATAACTTCATCAAAAAGCGAGTAATTAAAAAAGTAAACCGTGGATCTGAAAGAACATCATTAAAACTATCATTTTCACAGTTTAGTTTGTTAAAATTACCAAATTTGGAAGATTAGATAGAGCTCAAAGTTACACTAAATCTTTGATGAGTATAGATTTTATGCACCATATTCAAATGGTACCTGTTCAGTGGTATAATGATGAACAAAAAGACAAGAATATAATTATGAGTGCCTGCTGTTTTGCAAATCAAGAATCGACGAAAAATCAACCAAACGAAATACTAACGCCAAATCTCTCAACTATATCCAAGTCCGTGACATGTGTTTTACGTCATGCAGCATAACGAAAAGTCAAATATGGAGAGGTGTGGGAATTGGCGTGACATGCAATCCAGCTTGCTGTTGATCACGGTGACCATAGTGAGATGGTGGCATGATTAAAAGAGTTCATTGACCAGCATAAAGAAACAACAACTATACTTACCGGATCAGTGCAAAATTGGAATCTCCAAGAACCCCTCAAAATCCAAGCTAACGATGAAAACAAGGAAAATGAACCTGAATCAATTGAAAATCCATTAGTGTCAAGACGAAAGGGACGTCCGGAAACCAAATGTTATAAATCTGCAACCAAAAAAAAAGGAAAATCACGCACATATACCTGTGGTGCATGTGATCAAATAGGATATAATAGCGTGACATGTCAAAATTGCTAGGTATTTACACATTTTTTATTCATTCATTCTCTCTATTTAACTACACAACTCAAATTACATCTTTTTATTTAGATCACCATGATATATTTGGCATTACTAGTAATATGCATTAAGATTTAATTTTTCATCACAAAGATTTACTCCGTTATCAGAACATCATTCGGATGTTGGTAATGGTACTAGTAGTAATATCAATAGTAATAGCGTTGCATCGTTATCATCAACATCCAATCATTTTGCTCAATAAAAATTACAATAGACGCATGATTATCATGTTTTCACCCAATAAAAATCATTATATATCACATTTTTAATAATCAATCAAATAAAAATTCTAAAATTCTGGTCCTGGTCAAACTGATTTTCTGAGATAGTTCCTGAAACAGGATGTTCCAATTAGATTCACCCTTATTATAAATATTATCATATTGTTGTGATTAGATATTTTTCATAATTACAAATGATCATTTCACACGATCACTTTATATAATCACTTCAAATGATTATTGCAAATGATCATTCCAATTGATCATCTCAAGCACTCTGAATGATCATTACAAATGATCATTTCAAATGATTATCTCAAATATTCTGAATGATTATTATAAATAATTATTTTAAACAATTATTTCAAACGCTTCAAATAATCATTCCAAATGATTATTTTATAATTATCAAATATTTATAAATATAGATTGTATCTTAGCTCTAGAAAATAATTAATCAATAATTCAATTAGTTTTATATTCTTTTAATAGTTTTTTAGATAGTATTTTCATAACCTTTTGTCTTAATTGCGAAGTTATTCTTGTATTTGTTTTATAACCTTTTGTCATTATTGCAAAGTTATATTATTTTATACATTCTTGTATTTAATCTCTTATCTATATTATGAAGTCAATAATAGTATTGAATTAATAAAAGAAAATTACATTTTACTTATTTATAAACCAACTTTAAAAGAACACTCAATTTATTATAAATTGAATTATAAAAAATACAATTATCTTTGAATCTTTTTGGTCTTATTCTAGCTGATCAACAAAATGAACATATTGTTACCATTTCATCAAAAAAATTCGTAATTACTTAATTATTGATTAACAAAAATTAAGATGTATTACAAAGAACAT